AAAAAAAAAATGCTAAGAAACTGAGACAGGCAGCCAAGGAAGCTTCTGTAAACAAGGAAGAAACCACAGCTTTTAGGACTCTTGCCTTCAGGGACAGGCACTTCCCCTGCAGCTCAGAACACTAACGAGGCTGAGTGACTTGCTTTGATGAAGCATTCAGGATGAGGTTTTGTTCTCAGTGTCAGCCCTGTTCTCTGTGACAGAAAAGTTAGGATGCTTTCCCAGAGTCCTACAGGCTTTCCTGGGACATTACCTGGGGCAAGTAGTACAGCATGGGACACTTCTCCTGCCAGCATCCCTGGCTTTCAATAAACTGGAATATGAGTCTTTGGACTAAACACGAGGAGGGTGGAGCTTTTTCCTCTGTAACACAAAAGAGAAACAGAACTCTTTTTTAAAAGCCATGTAGTCATGCATTAGCAAATCAACCACAAATTTACAGCTGTCTCCCCAAGACCAGATTGTCATGGCAGCTACTTTCAAGCTAATTGAAAAAAATCTTACCATCCAAGAATGACTCAAAGTTCAGGCTAACTATCTTTCGGGAAGGATCTTCACCGAAATCATCACCATCTGAGAAGGAAAGGGAAAAACCCCAAACAGTTGTTATTTTCACACTGAGTTCTGGAGTTACAGCTCTTCCTCTTCAGAAACAGCCATACATAGAATTGTTCAGGTTGGAAAAGACCTTCAAGAGCATCAAGTCCAGCCTAAGTCTACCAAGTCCACTGCTAAACCATGTCCCTCAGCACCACATCTCCACAGCTTGGAAACCCCTTCAGGGATGGTGATTTAACTACTTCCCTGGGCAGCCTGGGCCTTGGCAACCCTTTCAGTGAAGAAGTTCTTCCTAATATCCAACCTCAACCTCCCCTGGGGCAACTTGAGGCCGTTGCCTCTTGTCCTGTCCCTTGTTCCTTGGGAGCAGAGCCCGACCCCCCCCTGGCTCCAGGCTCCTGTCAGGAGCTGTGCAGAGCCAGAAGGTCTCCCCTGAGCCTCCTTTGCTCCAGGCTCAGCACCCCCAGGTAGCTTGGCTGCTCCTCAGACTTGGGCTCCAGACCCTTCCCCAGCTCTGTTGCCCTTCTATGGCAAGATTCCCATTGCCCATTCATTACCTGCTTCTCCAAATTCCCACAGAAAGCACTGCTGAACATATTCAAAGCCATCTCTCAGCTTACACCCTCCTGCTGTAGTGTGTTTTCGACTTCCTTTTACCAGATCTTTACAAATATGGAAACTTTAGGTTTCTATTTTGTAACTCTTTAACCTTTGAAATTCATAGAACTGAAAACCACCAGTTTTGTGACTTACCTATTGGGGGTCCAAACACAACTGTGAGCTCAACAGAATCATAAAGAAAATTAAAGGTTGCCTGCTGTTCACTCCACTCAGTCATCTCCCACTCAGTAAAGCTACAAAGAGGAGGAAAATTCACACCATCACTCTGTGTTCCAACCAACCAACACCATTATCTGAAGGACAGAGTATGAACTATTACCCCACAAAATACCAATGGAATTTTCTGTTCCCAGCAGCCTGTATGAATGCTTTGGGAACACAAGCATACTACTGTTCATTTTACACAAATGTTAAATTTGGAATTGGAGGAGAGTTGGACATGGCAAGGCTGAGTGAGGAGCAGATTGGAAACCAGTGTGTCACACAGGGAAGTTCCCTGAGGCTTCACTGCTTATCCCAGGCTGTGAGCAGATGGGCAGCCAAAGATTTCCCAAATCAAAGAACAAGGAAAACCAAACCCCAAACCATTTATATATGAATGTGAGGCCCCAGAACTAGCTGACAAAAATAAGCCCTGAAGGTCTTTTCCTTACTCGCATCTCTCCAGGAGTTCTTGGAAGCTTTTTTCTTCTTCCTCTAGCTGGTTCATCTGAGCAAGCATTTGCTTATTGTCAGCCTCCAGATCCAACAGTTCTCTGCATAGATAAACCAGCCACAGGAGATGGAGCACACTGGTTAAAAAAACACCAGCCTCTCAAATCTGAATGTGTACAGGTTATTTAAGGTCTTTAGACCCTCTGACCTTTTAAGTTCCTCTTCTTCGGTTTTGAGGTTTTCCAGTTCTAAAAGGAAGGGATAAAAGCCATGAGAAAAGAGCAGCAAGGAAAGCCCAAACGTACTGTGCAGTCATGCTTCAGAACACTAGAGATCTCAGCTTGGTGGCTGTTACTCCAACCAGGGTACAGACACACTCTAACAAAGGTTAGCAATTACTGAGCAGTTAAAGTGCTGAATATGACACCCAGAGCACACTCTTCACCTCACACTGTACCCAGCTCTCAACTCCACCTTTCTAGGGGAAACCAAATCCTTTTGGTACTCAAACATCTGTGCAATTAGCTGTATCCAATGCAGAAGAGAAAGCAGTAGTGTTTGCATCCATATCAGAGTTAATACATCAGGGTGGGGGTTGAGTATCACCCCCTCCAGGATCTGGAAAACAAACCCACAAGTGCCATTCAGCTGGTGCTGTTACCTTCCTCCAGGGTCTTCCCTTCTGCCATTTCCTCACTGCAGTCTGCTCCCCAGTCTTCCCAGTTAGAACCTATGGGAAAGAAGGATCAGGTTTCTGTAGAACTCTCAGATTCAATACTTAGATTCCATTTCATTTGTCTGTGCATTCTATGAATCTTAGTCTTTCAAAGCTAAGAGAAATACACACAAGCTGTAAAGGTATCCACCAAACCCCCCAGAGACTAACAGATAATAAGGAAAACTCCTTTTGTTGCATTGTTTCAAAGCTGCTGCTCTGCAGCCTGATTTCTACTTAAGGCATTGGAAGAAATTTCATTGGGAAGAAGTGGCAATCCCCAGAGCAGCACACACAGCAATGCCAGGGGCCACCTGCAGCTGCTGTGAACATGGCTGACAGTTTAACCCATCCAGCACGACACTGAAACCAGCAGAGCTCAGTCTGTCCCCCCTGCAGGATCACTGCCAGGCTGTGTGGCCATTCTGGACTGCCATGGCTGGCAGACTGTCAGTGTGTTCAGAGGTGCCACTGTCACTCTGATTGCCAGCACAGATACTCCTAAGTCTCCATATGATTTATAGTTCCCACCAGACAAGTTTGCAGACACAAACGAAGGCATTTAGGGCTAATGAAGACTTGTAAGGGAGGAACTGAAGAATTCCAAGCAACTACCAAACACAGAACTCAATGCCAGAGGCCACCTGCAGCTGCTGTGAACACGGCTGACAGAGTTTAACCCATCCAGCCACACCACTGAAACCAGCAGAGCTCAGTCTGGCCCTGCAGGATCACTGCCAGGCTGTGTGGCCATTCTGGACTGCCATGGCTGGCAGACTGTCAGTGTGTTCAGAGGTGCCACTGTCACTCTGATTGCCAGCACAGATACTCCTAAGTCTCCATATGATTTATAGTTCCCACCAGACAAGTTTGCAGACACAAACGAAGGCATTTAGGGCTAATGAAGACTTGTAAGGGAGGAACTGAAGAATTCCAAGCAACTACCAAACACAGAACTGACCATTTAAACCAGCAGCTGTGCAGAAAATAGAGAAATCAGCATATTGGTCACCAGTTAGAAAACACCAACCTGCTTCCAGGGTAACAAGACAGCTCTCTGCCTCCTTGATCAATTCATCCACCTTTTCTATTCTTGACTGCAGCTTTTCCTCTTGTTCCTAAGATGGGGAAATTGTACTCGAGTAAACAACAGTTTTTAAAAAGCTGAGTTGTCTTCTGGGACTACCATGTGGATCTTTGATCACCAAGCAGATAATTAAAGAAGCTGATACAATCTGTCATTAGAAGGAAGAGGGAGACTGACAAACACTAAGGCAGTAGCCATGCATGAGAAAGTGCTAGATAATTAATGTGTCTTCCTAATGACTTTTCTTTTGAAGGAACAAGGTAAGACATGGAAGTAAATAAATTCCTAGACAGATTTCCCATACCTATCCCCTCTGCATCTCCATGTTAGACATAACTACAGCATGAAGAGCTAATTTCTGGTGGCATTCCCTTCAATAATTGCATTTTTCACTCTTACTTTAATTGACAAAACCCTTAGGCACAAGGTTCCTCTAGTGTAAGTGCAAGAAAGTCACTGTCCCTGTGTGGTTTGCACTTGTAAGTAAAGGGGAATGTGCACTCACATGCAGCCATCAGGCTCCTGCCCTTGACAGTCAAAGATGAAAACACAGCAGAGGTTCCCTTTTAAAGCTAATCCTCTGCAGCCTCGTGGCACGTTACCTGTGCACTCTGCAGCAGTTTGCTGTACAATGCCTCTTTCTCATTGTGACCCAAGATTTTACTCTCCTTGGTGAAATAGGATTTCATTTTGTTCAGTTCTGCTCCGAAGTTCTTCAGCTGCAGCAAATGGAAAATACAGAAAAGAAAGTGAAGGGAAATGTGCAAAGACAGTTCAATGGACACTTCTGACTTTCTCCCCTCTCTGCTCCTCCCCATATCCTCTTCCTCTAGTAGCAGTATTGCATGACACCTAGAAATTAAACTTCAGAAGGGACAATCCCTGTTAATCCAAGCACAGTTGCCTACTCAAGTAACTGATTTTCTTCATGCAGATCCAACAAGATCTCTCCTCAAGCAGGGAGCCACACAAATGACTCAAGAGATGCTTTTACCCCAAACCAGTGTGCCTTCCTCACACACACCAGCTGTCTCTAGTCCCAGCTGAGACACCCATTTGGAACACTTGCTGGCTGAAACATCCACAGAAGTCAGGCAGGACCCAAACCATGAGAAGTAAACTTAAAATCTGTTTTACCAAAACACAGCTACAGATCCTGGAGTTCAGTGTCTGCTCTGACAGCTGTCAATCCAGAAGCTGCAGTGGAGTGCACAAAAAGCTTTTTTCTGCAGTGTTTGCCATCTGCCTGGTTCCATTAGGTGCTATCACTCTAACAAAAGTGTGTAGAGATTTGCTTAATAAGCCTTGAAATTTATTATTCTTAGCTAAGGGTTCTTTCTAGGAGCTTCCATTGTTCACAAGTATAACTCTTCCTGGATCCAGTTAATAGCCCAGCCTCAGGGACAGCCTATGTCAATCTAATTAGGAACTATGAAAAATACTGTGTTTTATCCATTCTGACTCTATTTTCATTGAATAGATCTTTATTCTTGGCATTAAAACATGGAAAACAATTTCTTGATCTACCTTCTCAGTTCTGGCTGGGATACTTTCATTATGCTTCTGGATTTTCAGTGCAGATGTCTTTGTCACACTTTTTTGTGCCTGTGATTAGCATTCTCCTTTCAATACCCTCTGGCCTCATCTTCTGTATGGCACGTGACACCATTGTTGCACTCCAAATGCTGTGTGCAGTTTTATTTTGGTGTAATGAGACATTTTCTGTTCATTCTTGCAACATTATATGTCCTTCTGAACCAAATGAGCATTAAATTCTGCTCTACCAATGAAGCAACTGAGTCTCTACAGTCACAGCAGCTCATTTTTTAACTTCCAAAAATCACACTGCTTGCTTAGGCCCCTCTAAAATTTCTCTCCTCTCATCTGAGCTCAGCTAACCTGAATTTTCAACTTCAGCTATCAAGTTTTGCTGTTTTTATAGCAACATGTTCCTTCCAGTATATTTTTGAGGGCATGTATCCTGGCATTCTTCTAACATATTGGGAGGTCTCATAGCAGTTTGCCCTTCAGAAAATGTTTTGCCCTGTGTCACCTACCTGCCTACTGCTATTCTGCTACCATGCTGGTTTTTATTTGAAAACAAATCAACCTCCTTTCTCCATGATGTAAGGAACACTCACTCTCCATGTAACATTACCTCTTCATCAGAGCAGGTCCTCATTACTTCCCACAGACTCCTGTTGACGTTCACCAGGAGCTGATCCTGGATGTTTACATACACTTTTAACCTGAAATGTTATGAAAAAGAAGTTGACACAAGTCCTGTCACAAAGGCACCGAGCACACAAAGCAGCACTTTGGTATTTATACAACTCATTTCCCTTTTCTAATTAAGGCATGGAAATGTAAATAGTTTCATTTGGTTGGGTCCTACATCTTGGAGAGATGCTCTGTAGCCTTGATTACATGGGTGCTGTGTCTGTTAAACTCTAGCACACAAGGTTCATTTCCTCTGGTCTTTTTGTGGAAGGCAGGTCTGAACTGGAGGTGCAGAGCTAGACAGCCAATGAAATAGGAAGTGGTGCTAATGAGGCTGGGAAAAAATTTACTATTGACTTTTTATTTTATCATAAAACTTGATTTTCCACATAAAAGGCAGAATGAATCAGACAAGTGTCATCTAGAGAAGTTAATAAATCACAAGAACCATATTTCAATCTAATAAACACTGGAAAATGGGAGCAAGTAACAGATCATAACCTGTTACTATTCTGCTTTTTATGCTTGATCATTTTTGATACAATTTTAAAAGTTTAACTACTGATGTGCAACTGAAACACTCAATTAGTAAAAGAAAGATTACTTGAGGGAAATCAGTTATCTCCATAACCACAAGTCCTCCCCCAGAGTTAACCCTATAGTGGCTAAAGCTGCAATGAACTGGCACCAGGGTAAAGCTGGTTAACCATCATTTCTTGGTTTTCCCATGTGTAATGTATTAACTGTCTTCAGACCACTCTGCCTGCCAGCAGAGCTGACAGAACAGAAGGAGGGATGCAGTGCATGACTGAGGACACACTCACTCCTCTATCTTCTGAGCCAGGGCCTGGCAATCCTCTTCATAGACACGCAGCTTGGGGCGCTGAACGTACTGGCTGTAGAGGAGATCCTCTGGGGTTGGTGAGGCACTGACTGCACACTGGGGAAGCACAGGGGAAAATGGTGAAGGAAAAAAAAGCATCTTTTTCAGAAACAGTAACTTCCAGTCAGCTCCTGTACAGAAAGCAGCAGAAGAACTGGAAGCTGAGCTTTAGCAGAACAGACCAGACCCAAGCCCTAACGGAGGCAGCCTGACACAGTTACACAGTAGCCATGCCTGGTTCACAGTCAACACTGCCCAGTTCCAGCATCTGAGGCACACCACAGAAATACTCTGAGGGTATATTCAGCAAATGATATAGTGAAGCACTTAAATAATTCAGAGAGAGCTGAATTTCAAGGGCTTCTGGAGGATGGGAGGGGTGTGGTCAGAGAGCAGTCACTAATGAATGGTATCAGAGATTCATAAGTCTGGGGAATATTCAGAGAGATCACTTTGCAAACAGTGTAAACTAAACTAGGATAGCACAGGATTTTAAATAAAAACAGAAGAGACTGAAAAGTCATAAAGGAATTAATTTAATCAATACAAATGGTGTTAATTTAGCTTGGTTTCTTTTTAATCAGTTTTCACTCTTTTGTCACAAGAGTCTGTAAGAACTTTAAAGTGCAAAGGCTTTTCACTTGCTCTTGCTAAGTAAGAAGATAAAGAGAAAAGGTTGGACTGAGCTTCTAATTCTTACCTTCTAATTTAGCATCCTTAAATCAATCTAAAAAAGCAAGAACTGGCATTTTTATCCAAGAACAGACAATCCTGAATATATGGTATTTTGCAAAGAGATTGAAATCTATTTTTTAGTACTGGGAAAAAAAAAATAGCATCAGACTCCTCAGAGGTGAGCAAGCAAAGAGACAAGAGGAAGCCCACGGTGCCTAACACACTTGTTGAGGTGGAACTGACTCCTGGCTTAACACATTTAAAGGCCTGTAGTACAGACTGGTTAGCTGATAAAGATTTAAAACCAAAGAAATACAAAGGACTCTGAAGACCCATTCTGTTCCACCTGTGACAGGCCAGGTACTCACACTGCCTGGGACGTGGCTGTGCCGAGGCTTCTGAATTGGGATGTGGACTTGGAGAAGTGTAAAAAACTCCCCAACTGTGATAACACCATTCTGAAATTTCTGTAAAGATTAGAAAAAAATACATAAGTACATTTTTCAAGCAAGAACACTTACTCCTATAGCACCATGAGTATTTTTCCTGTTAGGAGAAGCATTCTGCAGCTATTTCCATACCTCCTGTAAGTTATCCTCACAAATGCTGTCTGTGAGAAGCTGGGACTCCATCTGACTGCTTCGCTGAACTGGCAAAAACAAGAGAGGAGAAAAAAAGGTTAATTATATTCTTATGGAAATATGAACCTAGGCTCATTAGCTCTAGAGAAAAAAGAACCCAATTGTCATGCAGATTCTGACCATTGTGTTTCCAGTGCTGAATGAAGGAACTGAGGAAACAACTACCTGGGACAAACAGGGAGGGCAAGATGAAGAATCTAATGTAAAATGAAACCTGGGTCAGAGCAGTAATGAAGTGAGAGTTCACTTTTCCACGGGAGGAAAGGCATCTGTAACACACTGAAAAGTAATGACACTGACAAAGAGACTCCAGGCAGTTCACAGAGGGGATCAAACACAGAGGGAGGCCCAGGAGCAGCTGAGCTGCCAGCAGCTGTCCCAGGGAGCCCATGGTGCTCGAGCTCTGAACCAGCAAGGGCCAGTTTCCACCCAGAGAGCCCAGCTGCTGCTGGACAAGCCACATGCTTCCTGGTTGCAGGAGGCCAAAATTGGAACTGGTTTTGTAAATAGAAGCAAGACATCACTTATCAGAGTACTGGCAGATTTCTGCCTCAGTGTCAGGTATCAGCTAATTAGCAAGGGCTAATTAAGCCTGGGGGCAGAATCTGCTCCCTGCAATGTACTCCGAGGAGTCTTGTTGCAGAGGTGCAGTGCTAAGACATGCACTCATCCTGCATGGAACCAGCCTCAAATCCTCCTGGGCCAGCAGAGTTTGAGATGGGGCTTTACTCTGTGCTACAGACACTCAACAGCCCCATCAGCCCCTTGCCCTTGGAAACAGAGCTGTACTTGAGTTCTGTTCCTTTCTCTTCCCCCCTCAGTCTTCCTCAGACTCCCAACCAGAGTGGAAAAGCATGCTGGCTAGGTGGGACCTGGGGACACAGGCCTTTCCCAAATGACAGATGGTGTGGATGGGGTTCCTCCCTGATCAGTGTAAAGAGCAGAAGGCTTGAGGCCACGACCATGCCAGATGCCTTACTTGTTATCTCTGTGTCAGCCTTAACAGAATCCAGAGAGCTGCTGGTGCTGGCGTGAGTGCAGTCAGGGCTCTTAGCCAGCTGGTTTGGAGGTTCTCCACCTTCAGGAGCTTCTACCTGGCTTTGGGACACAGCCCCAAGAGTAACCTAGTATTAGCAAGGAAAAAAAAAGTTATATGAAACAATGTAAGTTAATCAGTAGCTTGCTATAGCTGTTTGTTGACATTCAGAATTGTTTCACTTTTAGTAGGGGCACGTGTTACATCTCTTCAGCATGTGGCTGGTAAAGCCACTCCCTGTGATGCCATATGGGAAATGAAGCTGCAAAACCCTTTGTCCATTTCCCAATCAGAGCAGGAGCCACCACAACAACACATTATTCCAGCTTCTGGAACAAGAGAGTTTCTAATGATGACTACAAACTTATTTTTGAGGTCAGATGAATGTCCCACATTTGCAGATATTGTCTTGCTTTGACTGCAATTTGTGTTGTCTATGAAAAAAATCAAATTTAAACTAAACATCATTGTTTGGGTTTTCACTAACTGCTTTAGGCCTTAGTCTGTTATTGTACCTAAGCAACAACAAGCAAGTAGTTCAGAGGACTAAGAGGATTCAGCTGAGAAAGGATTAAAAGGATACCATGGAGAGGATGATTTAAAATCAGCATACCCCTCATTCTGTCTGTTGGGCACAGTTCAGGAAAGCTGCACACATTAACCTGATCCTTCTGTTTTGGCAAAACAATGAAAGATGCAGAGGAGGATGCAGCAGAACAGCAGCAAAATGGTGGTTAAGAGAAACAAGAAAACCTACCAACAGCTCTGCTTACACCCCAAGGGTAAACTGAAGTCCTGTTAGTCTCACTGTACCCTTCCACTGAGCAGTCACACTCACCTGCAAGTTTTGGGAGGCCTCACCATCCAACTTTTCATCCCTCTTCACCTTCTTTGGACTTTGAAGGTCTTCCTCATCTCGTTCCAAAGCTCTTTTTGTGTTGCAGGTTTGTGTCTCCTCAAACTGGTTTTCATTGCAGGAGGTTTGTTTTTTGCTTATCTCACTGGCAGCATTTTCCATGAGCTCAGAGCTTACAGATTCATTTGAATCCATTTCTTCCAGGCAGACAGGAAGAAATTCCTCTGCTATAAACTGAGAAGGGCTGAAGTTCTGCCTACTAGGCTTGTTGGTACCTGGGGCTTCATCTGTGTTTACACTTACTTCTGAAACCAGTGCTTCTCCTTTCTCTGAAGATTTGGCATTTATGTCCTGTGCACTAGAGACAGAAGGATTTCTTCTGTTGGGTAGTTTAGGCTGGAAGATCCCTAGAGGGACCTTCACTCCCTGATATTTATCCTTGGGTGCCATGCCTACGTCTGCATCCATGAGAGCAGCTCCAGATTCAGGACGTGTGTTCTGCTCATTGGTGCAAAATAAATGACCTGGTTCATTCACAGTGGTTTTTTCTAACCACAGGGTATCCCCTGGCTGAACTGATGATTTGGGCAACTGGTCAGGAATGGAGAAACCTGCAGATCTTCTTCTAATATTTTTCAGTTTTGAACAAACATTTAAAATACTTGATAATTCAGGTGCAAGAGTGGGACCTATTTGATCTCTTGGACTGTCACTGTGTTGCTCAGTTTGCTCAGAGTTTATCTGAGTGTCTTTTGGAGGTGTCTCCCCTTCAGCTGATGGTCCCTCAGCTTCCTTTGATTCCCTGTTAGAAGCTGGGACAAGGCTTGCTCCAGCCAAGCCTGAATCTGTAGCCAAACCTTCACGTTGAGATGAATCACCTCTCAGCACTGGGTTTCTCTGAGCAGTACACACATCTGGGGAACCTCTCAAGGACTCTGGTTGCTGGATGGGAAGTGAAACAGGTGACTCCAAATCACCACTGTCCTCACTGTGATCCATAGGCCCATTACCTGGAAGCTTGAAAGAGACTCTCTTGGATTTCAGGTTTTCTGGTGGTATGAGATCCTGCTCACTGCTTACAGGGGCAGAATGATCCCTGGGAGGGTCAAGGCCCTGGGGTGTCTGCACAGCCACAGTCTCTTCTGGAAGGGACACAGAGTAAATGGAATCTGGTGCTGTGCCACTGGGGGCTTTGAAAGCTCCTTTCTCACCAGGCAATGCTGAGGCTGATGAGGCAGAAGAGGGAATGCTGGGCTTGTCCTTGGAGTTTGTGTGACATTCATCATTCAGGTCTTCTGTATGCAAGGAATTTGCTTCATCTCTGCAAGAAGACAACGCACTGCACAAGTCTGGTCGCTGAGTGCTTACAGGTGACACTTCTTGGTCCTGAAACCCATTAACATTGTTATTAACAGCAACAGTGTGGGATGCAGTTATTTCCATGTCGTCTTGGTGGTGGGTAAACACGATGGTTTTATCAGCAGGAGCTGCAGAAATGGCTGGAATGGACTCTCTGTCCTGTACACCAGCTTGCCCCCTCAGTACAGCTGTATGAGTCTTGGTGATCTCCATATCCTCAGCTGAAGGAAAGATGATGGTTCTGCTACCTGAGCCAGCCTCCTGTCCAGCCTGCTTCACCAGCTGGGACCCGTCCTCCCCGAAGGCTCCTCCAGTACTTTCCTCTGCAGAGTGAGCCTGGGTCATTCCCATGTGGGCCTGGTGACTCCTGAACAGCAGCGTGGAGACTGGAGGCAGGGGCTGCACGGGGCCTGCCAGGGCACCCCCCTCCCAGGCTGCCTTGGGGGTTTTGGGGATCTCCAGGTCAGCCACAGCACGCTGAGCGGCGTCGCTGCTCGAAGGTGCCCGGTGCCCACCCCCCTGCCCCGAGGCTGCTCTCACACCCTGCACCACTGCCAGGGTGCCTCTCCCAGCAGTGCCAGCCTGGCTGACCTCCGAGGCTCTAACAGGGGGGGCTGAGGAGCCAGCAGGAAGCCCTCCCCCTCCCCCCTTTTGTGAGGGCATTTCCTGCCCTATGGCAGCCGTGTGGCTCTGGGTGATCTCCATGTCGTTGTTCTCATTGCTCAGTGAAAACACAACAGTCTTCTCTCCTGCTGCTCCCTTCAAGCTTCTCCTCCCAGTCCTTTTATCCACGTGAAGCATCCCTTGAGCCACAGCCCTTTCCAGACATTTATCAACTGCAGTGGTATCGAGTCTGCTGATTTCCATGTCATCACTGTAGGTAAAAACACAAGTTTTATCTCCAGATGTTAAGGCTGCGTCATCATTTGGATTTTTATGCTGCAGAACTATTTTGTCTGCTGAAACTGTGTGACTCCTGGTGATGTCCATATCAGCATCTTCAGAAAATATGGTCGTTTTCTCACCTGCAAAAGGCAAATGTTTTGGACCACTCACAGCTGACATTTTCTTGCCAGATCCCAAGGAGTACAGGTCACACACAGGCTGCTCCTGCCTATTCACTGTCACCACAGCACCTTTTTTTAAGGACATTATTTTATTTTCATCTTGAGCAAGGTCTCCAGGTACTGCTGCTCTCTCTGGAAGAACACTGGTGTTGTAATCAGGAACCATCACTGCTGAGTTTCCAGTCAAGTCCATATTTTCACCAGAGGGAAACACAACTGACTTTCCCAAAACTGAAGGCAATTGGGAATATTCCTGATGTGGGTCAGGTGGATTGGCTAGTGATGGCTCTCCAGCACCCTGCCAGGAAGGGACATCAACTGAGAGGGGGTTTCTTACATCCTCTCCTCTTCTACCAACTGAAAAATCTCTCTCAGAATCTGCTCGAGTTGGCAACACTTTGTTTCCTACCTTCAGAGTGTGGGTCTTCTCCTGCCTGTCTGTGTTATGGCAAGCTACATTTATTCCTAGCATTGCTCCAAGCTGTGCCTTTCCTCTCACTCCAGAGGGAGCGGGCTCATTACTGGAGATCCATAAACCTCCAGGAGCCAGAGGAGTAGCAGTTTGCTTCTTTGTGTTCCCTTTGGCATCCCCACATCCTGTGGCTGCACTCTGGCTGGTGACATCCCCACTGGAGCACTGGGGGGGCTGGGTTTGCAGCTGCTGGGCTATCACACCAGCTGGATTAGCAGCAGCAAGGGCAGCAGGACGAGTTTCAGTTCTGCCCACGTTCTGCCCCTCTGAAAACAAGCCCCTGCTGTCCCTGGTGCAGGAAACTGAAGCACTTAGATGGGTTTTTTCCAAAGGTTGTGATTTAACAACTTGTTGACTCTGCAAGGCCACGAATGCAGAGGCACTGGAGCCAATGTTCTCGGGGGCTTCTCTCCTTTGCTCCTGTAACAAACACACACTCTTTGCACAGGAACTTGGACCATTTCCCTGAAAGGTGTTTTTTCCAAGCTTCTGATCAACCATTATCACGTCAAAATCTTTAGTGTTTGTTTCCATAGTCTGGCTTCTTTTAATATTCCCACCAGTACCAATTGCCTCACGGTTTTCCTTGTCCATATCTAAAGAATCTGCACCTTCACTGACATTTCTGTTCTGGTTCCTTCTTGGAATTGTTTTACAATGCATTTGTTTTCCTTCTGCAGTTACCCCATTGCTGTGGCCGTCAATGACAACAGCATGGCATTTTGTTATTTCCATTTCTTCCTGCTCATTTAAATCAGCAGATGTAGCTCTGTTATTGAGAAAATGAGGTTTGCAGGTGACAGAGGTGAACACTCCAGCAGCAGATTCATTTTCAACATTCTTTCCATCGCCCTTGTCCAGGCAGGTTTTAGTCAAGTCCATGTCTTCTCCTGAGAATATCATTGTCTTCTCACCAGAGAGAGAAACAAGCTGGGAGCTTGCCAGCCTGGGCTGAAGTCTGCTCTTAGAAACACCAGTCGACACTGAACTTGTGCATGAATCAAACCCAACACCCCCTGAAGCAGCCCCGTGACCTTGGGTCACCTTCTGGATTGGTCCATCTGAGCCTGAAGACAGCCCAAGTGCATGAGGTGCATGTGCCAGGGGAGCTCGACCCTCTGAGGACACCAGACTCTTTGCAATGTCCCTGTCACTGTGTGCTGGCTGCCTGCCTGCTGCTGGCAAGGAGTTTGTATTAATTGGCTTTTCACACGTTTTATGAGGTGAGCTGTTCATGTCTTTGGTCCTGTCCTGATAGATTACATCTGTATAATTGCCAGTCATTTCCATGTCATCACATTTAGAAAAAAACACAGTTTTATCACCTCGGAAGACAGTCTCAGAAGAAATGGATCCTGGGATGGCAGATACTGTTCTGGCCTCTTGTTTGGCAGTTTGCAGCACTGCAAGATCTTGTCTGTCTTCAATATTTACTGGTTTTCTGCCTGTACAGGGTTGAGGGTCATGCTGGACGATTAAGTGCTGATTAGAGGCTGTTTTTAAAACAGGATTATCTAACTCTGTGGATGGGAAATCCTTTCTGAAGTTTAGGCTTTGATTCCCAACACCGGGGAGGGGAAGAGACACTTTAGCAGTGTGGCTGGTGGTCATGTCCATGCCCTGGTGGGTGAAGGCCTGGGTGACATCTGCAGCCGGGCAGCGCTGCGCCGGAGCCCCGCTCGTACCCGACACCACGGCTCCAGCAGCAGCTGCCTGGCACGTTGTCATCTCCATCCCATCGTCCTGCCCTCCAAAGACTTTTGTCACATTGCAGGTGTCCCACGCTTCACTGGAATACACAAATTCTGGGGATGATCGTGCCCAGTGTTCTGAGACCTGTGAGGGGACACACACACTCTCCTCGGGTCCCTCGGCAGGCTTGTGTGCCGCTTCCTCCGACTTCAAGCTCTTCAAAAATTCATTGAAATCTATTTTTGTTACAGTAGTGATATCTTCCATCTGTTCAATGGATGGGCACAAATAGTTTGTTGGGTCAGAGAAAAGCTGGCACTCTTTGCTCATCTCTGCCTTTCCACTGTTAGGGTTTAACCCAGCCAGGAAGGAGGTGATGTCTATCTTCTCAATGCCATCAGCTGCACTGGCCTCCAGGTCCCGAGTGATCACCGCCGTGTGACTGGCTGTCATATCCATCTCATTTTGCTCTGAAAAGATGAGGGTGGTGTCATGCCTGTTTGCCCTTTGGATGGCATTCTCTGCATCATACTCCTGAAAAAAAGAGAGGAAGGAATTAGTTACTGACACTAAAAACAAATGATACAACAGTTTTAAGATGAATGCAGTCCTAAGGTTATAGCTATTTTTTTGGGGGGAAACAAAACAACCCTCAAACAAACCCCCAACTATGTGAGTCCTCCTCAATAAGCAATAGTGCATTCATGGCAAAGATGACTCAAATATTACAGCTATGTAATATTTGAGTAATATTACATATCACATTTAAATAGCTTTTTTTTTGAAAGACTGTGTCTCAGTTTTACTGCTGAGCAGAGACTGCATATCTTGGTAAGCTGGAACAGGTATCAGACCTCACAGATCAGTAGTTCCTCTCTTCAGTATGGTTCTCACCTTTGCCTCCCCCCTCTGTCTAACTGCAGGTGAAAGACTCTCCCAGCTTATCCTGCTCATGCCTCAGAGCAGCAACACCAGGCTGGAAACTTTAAAAGACTTTTCTGCCATTTACAATGGAAATTTTAGTCTCTTTAATAAAAAGGATTTAGTTTTGAAACTGTAGGAAAAAGTTGGCCAGTAACAAGATCTAACACTATGTTTTATAAAATATAATGAATATTAAGAACAGCTTCACGTTTACTTCAAATGACAAATGCTATTTTATAAATTATTTGGTTTTTAACATATATTAACAAGAGCTAACATAAGTTTTTAAGCCCTATCTTTAAACTCAACACAGAAGCCAGCAGCACTGCAGTCAGGGAGACTGGTTTAACACCACAGTGCCGTAACATCATCCCCCAAGTGTCACACAGCCCAGGATTTCTGAGCAATTTGCCTGTGAAGGTCTTAGCTGAGGATTGTGTGTGTTCTTACATGATTCATCTGAAGAAATTTGGTTACCTTCTGCAATTTGTCTAAAGCTTTTTCACAGTGCCATAACATCATCCCCTAAGTGTTACACAGCCCAGGATTTCTGAGCAATTCTGCCTGTGAAGGTCTTAGCTGAGGATTTTGTGTGTTCTTACATGATTCATCTGAAGAAATTTGGTTACCTTCTGCAATTTGTCTAAAGCTTTTTAACAGGAGGAACAGCGAGTACATTTGTGCTTACCTGTTCTACCTATAGAAGGAAAACATACACCAGCAGAGAGTAACACCTAAAAAACCCCACATAACCAGATCTACCTGAAACATAAGCTCCATTTCATATTCTTAGACAAGAATGGCAAAGAATGGAGGAACTAGATCAGCTACAGGAAAATTATCAAGGAATTTTAGAAGCCAGAGGTATCAATACTTCAGTAGAGTGCCTATCACGTGAGGAAAACACTTCAAAGTACACAAGTTTAGCTTTCAGGGAATTTTACATGACTGCAAGGATTTCTTTTTTAGTCACCCAAGTTACATTTTCATCTTTACTACACAAATTATTGGGATATAATTTGGACACTGATATTTTCAGAACAAAACCAAAAAAAAAAAGCCTCTGTATACCTCAGTCTGCTGCACTGATGCCTGGATAGGGGCATGAAGCAACGTGTTCATCCCTGTTGAAAGAAAATACTCTTTTTTAAAATAGTACAAAAAATTTCTTAAAAAAGATTTTCTTTAAAAAAAATACAAAAATTCTTTTCACTATTTTCTTATTATTTTCTCCACTGAGCTGAAATCTACACACTCATCTTAAAAATCCTGCTGAGTAAGTCAGTACAATTGAAACCAAATATCTCCTGGAAAATACCTTCAGTCCTGGCTTCAGCAGGTGGCAGAGCTGCCCCTGCTGCCACAGCACCACACTCCTGAACAGCCCCCCTGGGGCACAGCCCAGCCTGCAGCAGTCACCTGGGCCAGGGAGACTGGTATTGTTAAGACTGGATGGGACCTCCAAGGTCATCAAGTCCAAGTGTCAACCCAACACTCCCATGACCACTCAACCATGTCCCCAAGTGCCACGTCTACATGATTTTTGAGCCCCTCCAGGGAGCTGCTGGTGGCTCCAGCACCTCCCTGGGCAGCCCAGGGCAATCCCTCAGCAGGCAGTAAGCCTCACCACTCTGCCAGGAGAGACATTCAACACCCCAGGTCCCTCAGCAGCTTCTCACAAGCCATGCTCCCCAGCCCCCTCACCAGCTTTCCTGCCCTTCTCTGGACCCACTCCAGCCCCTCAAGATCAGTCTTATCCTGTGGTGCCCAAATGATACAAACAGAATTGATAGTTTTGAATAAAGACAAACTTTTGTTTGGTTGGTTTTTGTCTCATTTGTTATGAAATCTACTTCCAAACTCACCAGTGATCTCGCAGGGAGCAGCTTCAGGTTCTTCATTTCTACAAGAGGTGGGTCAGGTAAACAGTTTGTTAAGAGATTTCAAAGAGAAGCTTCAGCAATATACTGAAAAGCCAGAGTTCTGCAGAGCTCATGTGGGTCTGGGCAGCAGATACCAGACACTATTTGTATGCCTTCAATATATTCTACTTTGAATTGCAATTTTGTTTTCCCATGAGAGTCTCTCAGCTGGGCATGCCACAAGCCACTGTTCCACACACAAGCTGAACAGTTCAACATACAATTTCAATTCCTCAGTGAGAAGTAAAAAAAGAGAAAACATTCTTTATATTTAACTGAGACCTTCCACTTCTAGTTATTCCTTTCTCTTTGGGAAACTGAAGCTGTGTTTCTAAAGCCTGAAATAATTTCCCTGTAAAAAAAAAAAGAGCCAGACACAATGCCCAACTTCTGAAGTTTTCTAATTTTTAATGCCTTCTCCTCTCCACCAGTTTATTGATTACTCTTTCAGGACCAAGAAACCTTAGCTGAAGTACCAATTTGAGGTTTTATAGTTACCTACATGCATATAACACGTTACTATACTGGGCTGCCTTTAAAATCTTAAGTTAACTACAGATGCACATAAGCTGTTCCCTTGCTATATATTCTAAATGTAAAAAAATTCCCCTTCATACATAGAAAGTGTCTGATTCTGTTAATTTACTTAGCAGGTCATGTTAATTTTAGAAATCACATCATTGTGTTCTAGACTAAAACTTTGAGGCCAGACTAAGACATTATCTACCTCTGAGGGAAGAAGTTATGGTAATAAATACCAAAGACTGTGTCTATCAGACATGGAAGCTGGTTGGGCTTTCCTGGAAAACATTCCCAAGCAATCAGCTTTGGAAGGAAGCAGTTTCAAGCCATAACTGTACAATATTTCAGAAGCTTCTGGTTTTTGTGAGTGACCAACACAGTTATGTGCCTTTTTAGAGATCTCTCTTCTTTAACCAATGAAAAGCACTGAGCAATTATCTGTTGAAGCAAACAGGCGTGCTGGATCTCTCTGAGGAGCAATATTTTGATGGTGGCTTGTCATTTGAAGAAATGTATTTGCAGGACAGAGCTCTACAGGGGCAGGAATTGTTTCAGACTTACTGACTATAGAAGACATCATTCCTCGTGTCTGCTGCATACTCTGAAACAGGAAGGAAATCAGATTAATGTGAGGAGCAGGGTCAAACCTCAGAGACCAGAGTAAACTGCACAGAAAGGAATGTTCTGAAGTTCACTCTTTTTGATTGTGGCTTCTAATTGTGGCAAAACCTCAGAGAAGCCAACTCCTTGAAAACACCTCAGCTTCCCAGCTTCTTCCCAGGACATCTTTGACAGAGCAAATGTCACATTCTGCTCAGCCCTCTTTTGATCTAACTCCCCAAGCAGGTTTGGTTCTAGGTGCATTTTGCCTATGGAAATAATTCCTTTTCTGAGCTACAGGGTCCACAGTGCCAGTAACTGATGGGTTCTCAGCCAGTCCATAATAGACTGCTTGCCCTGACTTCTGAAATCCAGGCTAAAAACTTGTTGCCAAGTCTGCAGATCCCATCAGGAGAAGAGAAAGGATTTTTACCTGTGCTTTCTGCTGTGTTATTCTTAACATCTCGCTGGAAGACTCTGCAGCTAAGAAAAAAATAAAACAAACCATCTCAGTTGTTAAAAAATACAAGACCATCTGTTTTGAAGCAAAGAAAATTAAAATAAATTTTAAAATCAGCCCTGATTTCAATCCTTTCCACATGGTATGTTCTGAAATGAGATACTAAAAGCCAGAAGCTTACTGAACCCAACTATACTTTCCAGCAGGAAGATCCCATTATCATACTTGGATGGAAATGACTAAAAAGAAAAAAAAAGTAATGGGAAACAGAAATTCCTAGTTATATTAAATCCACCAAAGCAGCTTTGTTTGTTTGTTTTTTTTTTTTTCTAGCTAGGAGGAGAAAATGATTCATGGCTCTCTTAGGGCTCAAAATGACCTGAGTATAACAAGTTACCAGCTTGCCTACACTGCATGCTCCCCAGCACATGCAAACAGCAACCTCAGGGGGTACCAGATTATTACCTGCAGCCCAGGTTTTATGCTTAAGTAAAGGAAATGGATTTGTGTCCTTCAGACCCAGCTTACTTTATGGTGTTGGCAAAGCTGACACGGCGAGAGTTCTTCCTGCGTTTTTCTATGTTGATATCCTGGCAATAGAGAACACACCTTGAGAGACAGAGAGCTGCCCTCACCCCGTCAGCCACGGCAGCACCCCCTCAGAAGAACACTCCATGAGCCCAAGGAGTGCAACAGATATTTACCCACATCCTTTACACTATTTCCCCAGCTCCTCCTGACACAGACACCCAGCTCCTGAGAAGCAGGATCAACACCTCTTTGTGGGAGCTGCCCAGCTTCAAACACCAGAAGCAGAATTCCAGTTATCAGGATTTTTGTCTGGTGTACCAGGAAAAATAGATGTAGCTGCTTTGCAAGAGAGTTGAAGGATTTTTTTTCTTTAGAATAACTTTTGGTTTTTTACAAGAACAATTTTTTTCCACTACAAGTACAAGAACTTGAAGAAAAAAACAGTAATAATGGTTTGTCTTTCTGGGAGACAGGGAAGGGCTCATGAGAGGATCCAAGTCAGCATTTCCCTGTTGGAACGTTCAGACAGTGTCACAAGCATGTGCTCACACACAGGCAATGTTCTGAGGTGTGTAATGATGCAGCATGACTGACAGGGAAGGTGAATTCATCACACCACTGCTGGGCAGTTCTCTGCAACAAGCTCCCCTGACTAGCTCAGCCTCAGGACAGCGCAACACTCGTTAAAACACAATGTGTTAATTAACATACCAGGCACCACCCCTTAGATGCACATGACTATCAAATCCTAAAAAATACCCAATTTTTATTAAAAAAAAACACTTCAGCAACACAAGGAGTTAGGAATGATGTCACACTACTGTCTGTGACAGTCTCATTGGCTCGTTAGCAGCACTGTCCATCACTGTTAACGAGTGTTACAGCTTAAATGAAGAGTCAGCTGCTCCTCATCCTCAGCCCAGGTTTGGAATAGATGTGCTGAAATATTCCAGGCTCACACTGCATAGCCTAAAAAAATTATTAGAGGCTTTTTCACTGAAAGCTTTCTATGCTAAAAATGAGCTTTCTAGTTCTGTAGCAGCAACAGACAAATGAGGTCAATGCATGATGCACCCACAGAACCCACCCTAGGCAGAAATGGCACCACACCAGAAATCCAAACCAACCAGGCCTATAGTTACAGTTTCTAGGAATGCACAAACTAAGACACCACAAATATTAAGTGTATTCTGTATGTATTTCTGGAAGAAAATGTTTTGGGTTTTTTTTTTGCTTTTATTTTAAGCAAATTGGCAAACTGGGTTTTTTTCAGAGCTAACCCCACCTTCCTGACTATACCAGTTTGTATACTGGTGGATCAGACTTCAAGCCCAATGGACTACAGCAGGAGCAAGTCATCCTGTTGATCTCTGTTTATTCCTTTTTTCTTGACAGAAGAAGTATCCTGATGTAAAACTAAAATATCCTCATGTATAGGAAAATCTCAATAGATTTCTTATAACATTTAGTACTCTAAACATCATCCTCCTAAGCAATTATTATAAGAGTTTTTACACCTCCATTGTTCTAGTGACACAGTTTAACCAAGAATGAGGATGAGGAGCTGAAGACGTTCAGACCACCAGCAGGACTTGTGGGAAGGTAACAGATTGGCCAGGAGGTGTGTAAACGTGCTCAAGTGACTTGCAGCCCGCTGTAGAACAACAAGTATCACACTGATTGTGGCTGGGCTTTGTGTGCTTGACAAGAAGAACCTTTGCTTAGGTAACACTGGGCTGTGAAGGGCTTCGAGGCACCTTGCTGAAGGTGCTGAGATCCCTGCCTGGCTGTGGGGCAGGTCCCAGTGCAGTGCAGGACGACACCTGCAGGGAAAGCAGCAGGTCCAGGGGCTTTTGCTGCCTCTGGCAGGGCCCAGCTCCAGTGCCTGGGCACTGCTGCAGAGATTCCCCCCCTTCTCGAGGCAATGACAACAGATCTACTCTTTGGATTGCACCCATGGTTTTGTGGTTGTTCCTGCACCCTGTCTTCACACTCCCTCAGAGCTCACACTGACTTCACAGACCTACCTGTGTCAACTCATTCCCACTGCACAAGTCATCAAGAGGATTTCGGGGAGCCTTTAAAATCTAGAAGAGAATGGCACAGTTGAGAAGAGCAGCTCCAACTGCAAGAACCTATTTGGCTGGAGAGAGATTGAAAGAGCCACCAGTGCTGCAGCAATCTAACAGGCTCTTTCTTTGCTTTTGGAAAGCTTCTCTTCACTGTGATGAGAAAGCTAGTTCCTCTTCACAGCTTCCCCTTCTTTCCCTCCCTCCCTTAGGTGGTTTTCCTCTGAGAAGGGCTGAGGTTACTCACCGAGGAGAGTCGCCTCCCCCTGAGGTGCTCCGTGTTGTCACTGGAGGGAGAAGGGAAACAGCACTTAGGGCATAAACTGGAACCCAGATGTACTTCTGAACACTATCACCACCTTTATGTACTTCTGAACACTATCACCACCTTTTTAAGGTTCATAAATTGACTGCTCCATTAGTTTTAGAAGCCTGTGTCACTGTTATCCCACAGTGTGAAATTAAATAAACAAGTTTGCTTGGAATAGATCATTCCAGAACAAGTTCCCAAAAACTGGCTTAGAAAATTCAGCAGACTGCCCTCCAAAGCCCACAGTCATTGAGCTCTAGGCAATTCACTGCTATGAAATTTCCTCAGGGGTTTCCTACACACAATCAGAGAAACTCCCTGTTCTTCTTGGCAGTCAAAACCACACTTAATTCAAGAGATGCTGTATGGATTACAAAGTTTTTCCTCTAAATGACAATATTCACACCACAATAAAACTCTTAAAAGGTTTCAACTTACTTTTCCATGTTAGGGTCTGCATAAATCTTCTCCATTTCTGAAGGATGTGCTTTTGCTGTAAAATACAGTGCTGAAATCCCAAAATATTAATGAACCTCAGTAAGAAAACTGCCTATGACCATAGCTAGATACTAGTCTTAGATGCTCTACTTTTTGTCTCCATCTTTCTCTAGTCACAGGAAAGGACTGAAGTGTAAGAGGCCTCCCAAGTCCACATCTTCCTGTTGCATATCATAAGACAGCTGGGCAAACAGTTTGAGTTGTACTGGTTAGATGTACTTTTATTTAAAGTAAAGATTCTGGTCACTGTTGGACATAAACGTGATCAAACCTTATACAAAGTTTGAAAGTTTGCTCTGGCACACAAAGTTTTTCCATCACTAGCTCTTGCCCCACTGAGAATATCTTCTGTCAATGGCAGCAACTGCCACCAGCACAGAAAACTACAACACTTGGCAAAAGTCACATTAGGGGATAAAACAAGTGAACCCACGAGGACAGGATGCTGCTGCCAACACAGGTAACGTTGCCTAATGTTTCTTGTGAACATCAACAGAATTCAGAGCTTTGAATTCCTGGTTAATATTCCTCCTGACTTCAATCTCCCACGGACCTTAGAAAGACCACCAAAAAAACATATCACAGAATCAACACCAGAAATTTTGCTAAATCATGTACAATGCTACTGCATGTTATTGGGATATCGCTCCCTAGGCAGAGCAGAGTGTGAATTACAGGGGAAAGGAAAAAGAACAATCTTCAGGAATCTCAGTTTGCTCACAGATGTTGTTCATGTGGAGCAGGAAAGCATAAGAGAACTCAGCAAACATTTTTTTTTATCCCCAAACAGGGAGGAAAAAAAAAAGCACACTACTTAGGAGACACCATTACTCAGGAAGATCTAACAAACAAGAGCCAGAAAACTTCCAGAGTGACATTTTACCCACAGACATCAGATTAAACACAACAAACAAGTGATGTAAAAGGTGGCCGTGCATGCAGGTGCTTAGAGAGGGGTGAAGGAACAGCCCAGAGCCACAGAGAGCCCTTCTGTCTGCTAGTGGGCCTGTTACCCTGGAATTCATGTCCCGACCAACATGCTCCCTATCATCCTCTAATCCTTCCTTGAATTTAGTTATGTACCTTTGACCTGTACAAACATATGGTGGCGACTTGAAACCCTTTGTTATTGTTTGTGAGAAAGCATCTCTATTTATTCTTATATTTGATAATTAAATACCTCTCAGCCCCACACTATGAACATGAAGAATTACTCCACGGTCTTTTCCAGTTCATTTAGGATGCCCAGCCAAGCTCCCCCCAGTCTTTAATCTTAAAGGGGAAGGAATCAGGAACCTGTTTAGTCTCTCTCTGGGGTTCCTTTTCGTTCTCAGGCCGCTGCCCTCAGGATGGCCGGTGCGGTTCCCTTCGCGGCCTGACAGCCCTAGAGCACCGTCCCGAGCAGCCCCAGGCTCACGGACGCCTCTCTGCGCTCCCATCGCTGTTTTCCCAAGCGCAGTTAATTCGCGTTGCCCGGGACCGCTTGGGGGTCACCCGTCAGGCGAGTCCCCTCACGCCGCGAGACCGACCCCGACTCCAGCTCCCAGGGGAACCTCGCTCAGGCCCCGGCCCGACGCGCCCCCTCCCTCTTTCCACCGGCACCCGAAGGCGCCAGGCCC